CCTGCCCCCCAGGAATGCTGACCATCACCGACTTCATCAACATCCTGCACCGCTACTACAAGTCGCCCATGGTGAGCGCCGGGGGTCTGTGGGAGTGTGGGGTGGGGGGGGTCTGGCTCTGCCCACTCCCACCCGTGGCTGTGAGTGATCCTGGTTTGTCCTCTTCCCATCCCCCAGGTGCAGATCTACGAGCTGGAGGAGCACAAAATAGAGACGTGGAGAGGTGAGGGGGGGTCTCTGCTGGCCACCTCCCCCCGCCCTCCTTGGTGCACCCGGAGCCCCCCGGCGCCGCCCCCCGCCCCCATCAGCCCCCCTCAGCCCCCCCTCTCCCCGCAGAGGTTTATCTGCAGGACTCCTTCAAGCCCCTGGTCTGCATCTCCCCCAATGCCAGGTACCCCCCTGGGGGGCAGGGAGCGGGGGCACAGCTTGAGGGGCCTCCTCCCCCTGGGCACTCCCCAAATCCCCCCTGCTCCTCCTGCAGCCTCTTTGACGCTGTGTCCTCCCTGATCCGCAACAAGATCCACCGTCTGCCCGTCATCGACCCCGACTCGGGGAACACCCTCTACATCCTCACCCACAAACGCATCCTCAAGTTCCTCAAGCTCTTTGTAAGTCCCGTCCCACAGTGACGGTGGGGGCCACCCTGGGACCCCCAGCCCGGGCTGTGCCAGGTCCCTGTGCCATCTCTAGGCACAGGGTGGGCACAACTCCGGTGCCTCCCCACACGCTGTGGGTGCTGGGGGACCCCCAGGACACCACACAGACCCTCTGCACCACCCCTGCCCGGGGGGTCCCGCATCCCCTGCTCTGTGCTTGCACCCCCTCAGCCCTGTGCCCCCCTCGCTGCCCCCGCAGATCGCAGAGGTGCCCAAGCCCGAGTTCATGGCGCGGACGTTGGGGGAGCTGCAGATCGGCACCTACAGCAACATCGCCGTGGTGGGCACGGGCACCCCCATCTACGTGGCCCTGGGCATCTTCGTGCAGCAGCGCGTCTCTGCGCTGCCCGTGGTGGATGACTCGGGTAAGGACGGGCTGTCCCGCCCCTGGCTGTCCCCGGGTCACCTCCGGGGGGGGCTGTGTCCCCTCTGGAGGGCCCGGCAGCGCCACTGAGCCACTCCCCTCCTTCCCCAGGGCGGGTGGTGGACATCTACTCCAAATTCGATGTCATTGTGAGTACTGGGAGGGACAAGGCGGGGGGCGGGGGGGATTGGAATGCTGAGCAGGGGTGGCGGTCCCCGAGGTCCCAGCTGTGTCCCCAACGCCTGTCCCTGCCCCAGAACCTGGCAGCTGAGAAGACCTACAACAACCTGGACGTGACGGTGACGCGGGCGCTGCAGCACCGCTCCCACTACTTCGAGGGCGTCCTCAAGTGTTACAAGCACGAGACGCTGGAAACCATCATCAACCGCCTGGTGGAGGCCGAGGTAACCGTGCCTGGGGTGCCGGGCTGGGGCCTGGGGGGGTCCCCACTCCCCCTCAGCCCCTCCCTGTGTCCCCCCTCCCCAGGTTCACCGGCTGGTGGTGGTGGATGAGAGCGACGTGGTCAAAGGGATCGTCTCCCTCTCAGACATCCTGCAAGCCCTGGTCCTCCCACAGGGCCCCTGAGGCGGTGGGGGGGTGGGGTTAATTCCCCCCCCCTTGAGCCCCCCACTCTGCTCTCTTGCCACACTGTGCCCCCCCAGGCTGGCGGAGACACCCGGGGCGGGACCCCACTCACCAGCAGCATCCAGCAATAACCCCCGGCCCTGGGGCAGCCCCCACTGCCCTCCCCTGGGTGGGGGGAGCCCGTGGCCCCCCCTGCACCCCAAGGCCGTGTGAAGTGGTGGGGGCAGCCCCCGACCCCCCTGGGGTCACCGACCTCTATGCCAGGGCTGTTCCCAGTGCGGACCCTCGTCCCCATCACCCTGCCCCCCACCCCCCCCCAAGGTTTCACCGGGTTTGGTGAAACCCACTCAGCTCTACCCGGCCCAGGGACCCCCACCACAACTCCAGGGGTTCCCCCTGGGACCCTCCCGGGTCCCTTGGCCGCACCCGCCACCGCTTTGTGCGTGGAGAGAACCCACAAATAAACACAGACCTGGCACCACCCCGGCTCGGTGAGGGGCACGGGGGGCACTGGTGAGGGAGGGGGTACCCAGGGAGGGGGTGTGGCCCCCCTGTGAACCAGGGGGAATCTGCTGAGCTCACCCAGACCCTAAATCCCTGTTTGTTCCGCCTGTGGCTTTTCTAAAAGGCCGGGATTGGGGATGGGACGGGGACAGGGAGCTGGCGGGACATGGGGACCCTCCGGTGGGCACCGCGGTGAGTGGGGGGTGTCGGGCAGGGGCTGGGGGAGGCCAGAGCGACGGGCTGCGTGTCGGGGTCCCCGTGGGGGGCTGGGGGTGGTCTCGGGCAGGCGGGAGGCCGAGGTTTGCTGCCGGTGCCCACGGGGGAGGCGCGAGGCCCGGCCGTGCTGAGCGTGGCACATTCCTGGCCGGGGGGGAGAGGCCGGGCTGGGGACCCCATCCTGGCCAGTCCCGGGGTTTGGCAGAGGCTGCGGAGCGAGGTGAGCGCCGGGCAGGTACCGGGGGCTCTGGGGGGGGCCCGGGGGGGGCCGTGCCGGTTGCCATGCCGCCGCCGGAGGGTTGCTAAGCTCCGCTCGGAGCCCGCGTGGGCTGCAGCGCTCGGTGCCAAACCCGCCATCGCCTGCTTGTCGCAGGGGGGGAAGGGATCCCGAGGGGGGGGGACACGCACACACACACATACACGGCGACAAGACACCCCCGGGACGGCCGGTGGGGTCCCCGCGGTGTGCTGGGCTGCCGGCCCCCCGGGGGGCTCCGTGCCCCGCGGTGGCACCGGGTGGGCCACGGGGGTCCCCGGGGGCGCACGTGCGGCCGTGGGTGTGTGCGGGCGGGCACGGGGCTCTGCTGAGGCTCTGCTGAGCCCCTCCGTGCGGGGACCCCCCTCCCGGCCTGGGCCATGCTGGGGGGTCCGGAGCGGGGCGCGGGGCGCCTGCGGATCTGCGAGCGGACCAAGCTGGTGCTGGTGGAGATCGACACGGTGGCGTGTTGCAGCTCGGCCGCCGGCATGGCCGCGGGGTGCCGGCCGGAGCCCCCCTGGACCTACCGCCGCATCGCCGGGGAGTACGCGTGAGTGGGGACGGAGGGGTGGGGGGTCCGGCCCGCGCCCCCCACCCTCGCTCCCCTCACCCCCCGTCTCTGTCTTGCAGGTACCTGGAGAAGCGCTTCGTGGCCGAGCTGGCCCCCCCCTGGCCCCCCGCGCCCCCCAATCCCTCTCGACGCCTGCAGGACTTCGCCCCCCGGCCCCGGGTGCCCCCCACCCCCTGTCCCCGGCGACAGCCCAAGGGGACGGGGGGCAGCGGACCCTGGGGGGGGAACCCACCGCCCACACCCCGGCCCCCGGTGCCAACAGGCAGGTTGTGCCCCCCCACCTACGAGGTGCACATGCAGCGGGTGCAGGCGGCCCACGCCCGCCGGGGGGGACCTCCCCCCTACATCTCCCCCCCCGCCTACGACGCTCCCCACCGCACCCTGCAGCTCCGGCCCCCCCGGGGACCCCGCAGCCCCCCAGCGGCACCCCGGGCCCGAGGGGCTGTGCCGGGGGGCTGGAGCCACACGCTGCCCCGGGCGGCCACCGAGGCCAAGCACCGGCGACCCCGCGGGATCCAGGCCCCTCCAGGGGGGACCGGCACCCCCCGGCACTGCCAGACGCTGCCGCGGGCGGCGGCGGGCCGGGAGCGGGTGCCGGGGCGCGGGAGGGGGCGGAGGGGGTCGGGGGGGCACGTCCTCATCGATGCCACCCGCGTGGTGGTCCGGGCGCAGTACGTGCCCCCCCCGCAGCGCCAGCAGGTTCGCTATGCCGGGGGGTCCCCGGGGCCCAGCAGCCCTCCCCGCAGCCCTCCTACGCCCCCCAGGGCTCTCACCCCCCCGGCAGAGCCCTCGCCCCCCCAGGAGCCCACAGGCAGCCCCCGCAGTCCGTGGCGGAGCCCGGGGGGCTGCGGGGGTGCCCGGGGGCGGCCCCCCCCACGGCGGCCGGTGCTGTACGCCCAGGCCCTGCGGGAGGCCGTGTCCCGCATCCGCCGCCACACCGCGCCCGACTCCGACTCGGAGGCCGAGGGGAGCATGGGGGGGTCCCGGCGGCGGCTCTGCCGAGACCCCCGTGCCTACAGCAGCAGCAGCAGCAGCCTGGAGAGCACCGGGGCACCCCCGGGCCCTGCCAGCCCTACCCGAGCATAAGAGGTGGGGCTTGGTAGGGTGTGGCACCTCGAGGGTGGGGTTTGGCTGGGTGTGTCCATTGGAGGTGGGGCTTGGCAGGGTGTGGTCCTGGGGGCGGGGCTCAGGGCTGGAGCTCCCGCGAGCTGACCCCAATAAAGGCTGCGGGATCCCCATGTGCCGCCTCAGCCCGTGTGTGTGTGTGTGGTCAGGGGGGACCATCACCCTCCTCAGGGCCCTGCACCCCCCGCCCACCCCAGCAAGGACCGGCGTCTCTGGAGACCCCCTCGTGAGGCCCCAGATGTCCAAACAACCCCGTCACGGTTCTGGGGTCAGTCAGAGGCCCCGGGCATCCCGCTGGGCACCTCAGCGTGTCACAACACGAGTGGGACGTGCCAAACCCCCCCCCGTGTCCCCCGTAATGAGTAGGTGAGTGCAGCAGGCCTGGCCCTCGGCCACCGACCCCACGTCACAGTCGGGGGGGGACCCCGAGTGACTCACCGGGGGGTACTGTCACCCCCCCGCGAGCGGCCGCCACCTCTTAGTCACACTGCTGGGGGGGAGGATCCCCCCGGCCCCAGGAAACCGCACAAATATCGTGTCCAATTTGCACGTTATTTAAAACCAGCTCCTCCCCCGCCCCCCTGCGCGACCCTGTCATTACCGCGGTGACACCGGCCCGGAGGTCACGGCGCGGGGCAGCCGGGGGGGATCCAGCCGACCGGGGGGGGCACCCCCATGGCCACGTCACCCCCTGTGTCCCCCCGGCCTGGCACGTCCCACACCTGGGCCTGACCCGAGCTGTGCCGATGACCTCAGCCCAGCATGGCACAGCTGTGGGGCTGCAGTGGCACCTGGCACGGCTCAGCGTGGCCTGGCACGGCACAGGAGGGCTGGCACAGTGCAGTGTGGTCCACTTGGCTTGTCACAGAGTCATGGCACAGCTCCATCTGCCATAACCTATCACGGCACGGCAGGGCTTGGTATGGCCTGGCACGGCTCGGCACATCTTGGTATAGCCTGGCATAGCTTGGCACAGCTTGGCATGGCTCCCCATGGCACAACAGCCCAGCACAGCTCAGTACAACCCTGAAGAGTCCAGAAGAGCCCGGGCCAGCCTGCTGGGCACAGACAGCACCACTCTGCTTGGCACAGCTTGGCACAGCCTGATGGAGCCTGGCACGGCTCAGCTTGGCACGACACGGCCCCACACGGCTTGGCAAAGCCCTTAACAGCCCAGCACAGCTCGCTGCAGCCTGGCACGGGCTGCTGCAGCCTGGCACAGCTCGGCACAGCACAGCTCGGCACGGCTCGGCTCGGCGCCCTGCCCGGAGTGGCGCGGGGTGTCCCAGACGCGGGGGCAGCGGCGCGGCCCCTCCCGTGGGATCAGCTCCTGCCCAAACCTGCTCCCCGCCGGGAAAATCACCTTCTAATTCGGGCTGCGCCGGCGCCAGCACCTCCCCTCCGGCCCCCCCCGGGCACCCGCCGCCCCCCGGACCCGCCGCAGCCCGGAGTCCTCACGGGGGGCTCGGCCCGTGGGGTGCCCACGCGCGGCACCGGGGGGTCCCCTCGGTACCAGTGGCTCCGGACCGGGTCGCGGTGTCGCCCGCGACCGCCAGATGTCGCCGCGCAGCCGGTGACCGGCAGCCCCGGGGGGCACCGGGTCCTGCCCCGGGACCGTCGCGGGTGTCCCCAGGGAACGCGAACCACGTGTGCCACCGGTGCTGTCTGAGAGTCACCACAGCCCCGTGTGTCACCAGTGACACTGGTGTCCCCAGAGAGCCGGGACCCTCATGTGTCACCAGGGCTGATGGTGTCACCTGGGGACTGCTATCCCCAGACAGTCGTGACCCGCGTGTGTCACCGGTGCTGGCGGTGTCCCCAGAGAGCTGTGGTCATGTGTGTGCCAGTGCTGGCTGTGTTCCCGAGGAACTGTGACCCACGCGTGTCTGGATGCTGGTGGTGTCTGAGAGCCGTGACCCTCACGTGGCACTGGTGACAGTGGTGTCCCGAGATCCCTGCCCCTGTACGTGCCAGTGCTGTTGGTGTCCCCGCAGAGCCGTGACCCACGCGTGCAGCTGGCACTGGCCGTGCCACGACCCACGGGTGCCCTCGGCGCTGTCCGCGTCCCCACAGGGCGGTGTCACCTGGTCAGCCGTGGTGCCAGCCGGGCCACATCCCTGCCTGTCCCCATGCCAGCATCCCCACCGTGTCCCCGCGTCCTGCCCGCGGTGCCGGCTCTCCCAGGCCGCGCGAGGAGCCGGTGGGAAGGGTCCGGTGAATGCGGCATTGTTGCGCGGGGTTGGAGTCACAGATAATTACCTCAATTAGTTACAATGGCAGAGTAATAAATACAGGCTTAGCGGCTCCTTCCCCACTGCGGCTTCTCAGATTAATCCAGCCCGGGCGAGCGGAGCTGAAAGGATTGATGGACAATTCATTAAACCCGCCGAATGCCGCACAAGGCACCCGTGAAGGCCGGCGTTAGCCCCCGGCGGCTCCGCTTTGTCCCTAATTGTTCGTCTCGGGCATTGGTCACCTATCAGGGAGTGGGTGACGGCGACGGTCCCCCCGGGGCTGGCATGCCCGGGGATTAGAGGCCAGCGCTGCCACCGTTGCTGGGCGCGTTGGCCCCGCGCCGGAGGAATGCGGCGGATGGGAGGGGAGGGGGCGGCCGGACAAGCCGGGAGCGGGCGGGCCGTGGGTCCGCGCCGACCGGAGGCGAGGGGAGCCGGGACGGGGCTGTGCCGCTGGCCGTGGGGACGGGATGGGATGGGGACGGTCCTGCAGGAGGGATGGGGCCACCAGACAGTCAGTGCAGGAGGGCACAGCTCTGTCTGTCTGTCCTGCAGCTCTGGGCACTGTCCCTTCCCTCTGTCCTGCACTTCTGGCTACTGTCTTGACCTTTTGTCCTGAGCTTCTGGGAATGACACCATCCCTCTGTCCTGCACCCCTGGGCATGTCTCCGTCCCTCTGTCCTGCATCTCTGTGTGTCATCCTGTCCTGCATTTCTGGGAATGACACCATCTCTTTGTCCTGCACTTCTGGGAGCATCCCTGTCCCTCTGTCCTGCACCCCTGGGCATTGTGTTGTCCTTGTGTCCCACACCCCCAGGCAGAGCCCCCCTGCACCCCATCCCTGCTGGGGGGTGTCCCAGCCCTCATCAGGCCCAACTTGTGGCCACCATCCAGTTGTCACCCGGTTTCCCAGATGTGACGGGCTGGTGCGGGGTGGGACCGCCCTGTCCCTGTCCCTGTCCCTGTGCTGGCCCACAGCAGCTATTTCCAGCACCCAGGAATATTTGTCCAAGCCGGGGAGGTCTGTGCCCTGTGCCCGGGGTGCTCCTGCCCACCCGGGGGTCGTGGCTGCCCGAGGTGCCCGGCGGTCACCGGCACGCAGGAAAAGCTGAGTAACAGAGGTGACTTATAAGAATGTCATTATCTATATTCCTGACTCCTACCGCAGGAAAACAGGCTATTTTCATGCCGGAGCAGGAGCAGAATTTAGCAGGCAGATAACCCGGCAGGCGGGAGATGCTCGGAGGGTTATTTCGGGCTGTGTTCCTTTCCAGGCGTTTTCCTCGCATTTCGGTATTTTATTCCCCACGCTGGGCTGTGTTTTGACCTCGGCGCGGGCAGCGGGGGCCCCCGGGGTGTTTTTCCCCCCCCCCTCCTCTGCGTCTAAACATCAACTTTTCCACTATCGGCTCCGCGGGATATTTCGGGTGGTGGCAGCGTCATCCCCGCAGCCTTTGATGCGGTGGAGCCCCGGGGGCCCCGCGAGGTTCCCGGCTCTGGAGGGCAGCCCGGGCTGCGGGGACCTCGGAGCAGGTGGAACCGGGCCGGGGGTCCCCCGGACACGCAGGTTGTGAGGTCCCCAAGGTGTGACATCACAGGGCAGGGGGTGGAGGGGAGGGGGACACGTGGGCCCTGTGCCAACCCCAGGGGTGCCCGTCCCAGGGGATACCCATCCTGGGGGGAAACCCATCCCAGTGGGATGCCTGTCCCAGAAAGATGCCCTCCCTAGGGGTGCCCATCCTGGGGCTGTGCCCACCCCTGTGAGATGCTCAGCCCGGGGGGAAGCACATCCCAGGGCGATGCACACTCCAGCGGGACGCTCATCCCAAGGGGGTGCCTGTCCCGGTAGGATGCCCGTTCCAGTGGGATGGCTGTCCCAAGGGGATGCTCATTCTGCTGGGAGGTCTGTCCCAGTGAGATGTCCATCTCGGAGGGAAACCTGTCCCGAAGGGATGCCCATCCCAGGGGGATAGCCGTGCCAGCAGGACACCTGCCAGCCACAGAACTGGGCCCCACCTTTGGTACAGCCTCTCTCTGGCTGTGGCCAGACCCCACACGTGGATGTGGGGCTGTGTGTGGGGCCAGTGGCCATCCCCGACCCCTCCGGCCCCCGCCCCGGTAACCCCAGTGCCCTCCCCGGCCCCCCTCCTCCCCCGGAGCCGAGGGGAGCCGTCAGCCCCGGCCGGGAGCGGTGATGGACGATGCTCATTCCCTGTCTGCCGTCTTGTACCTCCCGGGGCCGCTCCCAACGCCCGGCCTCGGCGGCACCAGCCCCGCCGGCCCGGCGAATTCCAGCGCCGGAGATGCCGCAGCCCAGGTGCCATGGTGATGGGCGCCCCAGCCCTGAGCAGGGACCCGCCGGGATGGCTGGGCTGGAGACGGGCACAGCGGGAGAAAGAAGAGGGTCTGCGGGGAGGGGATGGAGGAGAGGGGATGGCAGGAGGAGAAGGAAGGACGGACAGCGGCTGGAGGGGCTGATGGACACGGAATGGGAAGATGAGAGGATGGAGAGGTGATGGATGGACAGAAGGACATGGGCAGCAGACCCCACAGTGTGGGGGACATTGTTGACTCCCCCCAGCTTGTCCTCTCCTTTTCCTCAGCCCCCCCAGACACGAATCAGGGCAGGACTGATAAAAATATATCCTTTATTCTTCTCTAAAGGCTATCAAGTGACACCTGTAACAAAGCATCATTATTATTAATTATTATTAATTATTATTATCTTTAATTATAAAAAACAGGGCCTGGGGCCAGCGAAGCGGGGAGGGAGCGACGGCATCAAACCGTCCACAATAAATATTTTATTTACAGCGAGGAGGGGACCCCGTGGAGCCGGGGGGGCGTGGCCGGGAAGGTGCGTGGCACCGAGCCCACCCGTGGCAGGATGGGGATCCCTGGGGGCACATCCATACCCCCACCCACGGGCGCCTCCAATCCAGCCGGGCACCCGTCATGGGGGGTGTGCGGCGCAGACCCCCTCCGGGGCTGGTGGTCCCGGGAGGGGGTGGGGGGGTCACAGACACTCGTGCAGCACCTGGGTGTTGGTGCAGTTGAGGCAGCTGACGTGGCAGCACCAGTGGAAGGTGCAGTTGCAGCGCTCGGTGACGCGCTGGGTGCGCGTGCGGTACCCGCGCCCGCAGCACAGCAGCTCGCACCCGTCCAGCCCCGGCGAGGAGCTGTTGCAGAACCTGCCCGCCGTGCCCGCCGTGCCCGTCTTCCCGCTGTAGGTGCAGAAGTTGGGGGACTTCTCGAAGTAGACGAGGTCGTGGGGCGAGGGCGGCTTGTGGGCCGGGTTCTCAGGCTCCAGGTGGTGCAGCTCCACCCTCGACGCCCGGTTGCTGCCCTTGTTGCCGTAGATGACGCGGGAGGCGCCGTCGAAGCGATCCTTCAGGACGTCGCCCACGGCGCGGAAGGTGGGCAGCCGCATCCAGCAGGTGCGGACGGTGCAGGAGCCCGACATGCCGTGGCACTTGCACTCCTGGCGCATCTCCGAGAAGACCGTCTGGAAGGGGAGGGGGGGTTGGGGTGCTGTGAGCAGCCTGGAACCCCCTCCCACCCACCCCAGGCACCACAGAGCTCCTGCACCCCATTTCCCCGCAGCATCACACCAGGCCCAGCCTCCCAGAGCCAAGTGGGAGACTCTTCTGTGATGGTTCCCAACCCGCACGTGTGGACAGGCTGGGGGGCTCGGTGGCTGTGCCCATCCCTGTGCCCACACCAGTGCTGCCTGCAGCCCCCAGGACATGCCCTCACCATGCCCCTGCTGCCCTCACCATGCCCCTGCTGCCCTCACCATGCGCCCAGCCTCGTTGTTGTGCAGGTTCATGAGGAAACGCAGGTCTCGGCCCTTCTCACTGGAGTCCACAAACTCCCTCCCGAAGAGGCGCCCAAAGTCGATGTTGTCACTGCAGCCCCCCCAGTGCCAGTCGGGCCCCCCAGGGCCGCGGCGCCGGTAGTCGCAGGTGCAGGACTCGATGGAGCCCTCGGAGCACGACCGGGCCACCGAGTGCGTCACGCCGGCGCTGGTGATGGCAAAGATGAATGCCGTCTCCCGGCAGCCTGGGGGGGGAGCGGGGCCTCAGGGTGCTGCCAGGGTGGGGAGGGGGCGCCCAGCAGCACCCCCAGCCCTCCACCACGACAGGCTGGTGATGCCCCACAGCAAACTGGGGGCGCTTTGCCCAGCATCCCATCTCGGGGGTGCACGGAGGGGGCCCGGGGACCCCCGCACTGCCCCTCAGCCTCACCCCGGTTGACGATTTTGCCGAAGATGTTGGGGCCCTGCGAGGTGGGACAGTTCCAGCGGCGGTTGCGGAACTGCCACTTGCACTCCTTGATGGCGGTCTGGAGGCCGGAGCTGACGCTGTGCAGGATGCCGGGGTTCTGCCGGATCAGCTTGCGCTGCTTGCGGCTCAGCAGCTGCAGGCTGGGGTCCAGCACCAGCTGCACGTTCTTGGAGTCCGTCAGCAGGTTGGTGGACGAGGCCACGTTGATGATGCCCCTGTGGCACAGGTGGGGACGGTGACCACCAGCGGGGGCCCCCGGCATCTCCCTCCTCACTTCAGCCTCCCCGGGGGACTCCTCGATACCACTGGAGCATCCTCCTCCCTGGGTATCCCCTGCAGGGATCCCACCCCGGGGATCGCAGCCCTGTGTCCCCCCACGTGCCCCATCCCTGGGTCAGGGGCAGCTGCTGCTGTGCCGGTGGCAGCCCCGCTCTCCCACCCCACTGCCCCGGTGCCGGTGCTGCCGGACTCACCACCACCGGCCGCTGTTGTTCACCGCCAGCGTGTTGGAGAGGGAGGAGAGGGCCAGAGCCCAGAGCGCCCGAAGCGCCAGCCCCAGCGCGGCCGCTCGCATGGCTCCGGCCCCGGGAGCCCCGGCAGAGTGCGCGGGCGAGCGGCCGTCCCGGTATTTATGGTGCCGCGGAGCCCCCGGCCCGGCCGCTACATCCACGCGTGTTTCCGGACGCGCGGGGCGGCTCCGAGATCAGGACGGCCGCGGGAGGACGCGGGGAGCGCCGGGCGGGCGGGCCGGCACCGGCACCGGCACCGGGGTGCAGCCGGTGGCCGGGGCGCGGCGTCGGGGGTGCGGTGCCCGGCGCTCCCTGCCCGGTCCCTGGAGCGCGGCGTGGGGCGCTCCGCGCGCGGTGCCGCCACTGGAGACACGGTGCTCTGTGCCCGGTGCTCGGCAGTCCGGGCGCGGTACCCGGTGTCGGTACCGGTTCTCGACAGTCCGTTCGCTGGAGCCGGTGCTCGGTGCCGGCGGCTCCCCGGAGAGGCGGCCCGGCTGGACTCGGCTCGGCGCGGCGGGTGCGCAGCGCTCAGCACCCGGGAGCATCTTCCAGCCCCTTCCCTCTTATAGGGGCGGCGCAGAGGGTCCCCGTGGGCCGGTCCCGCCGCGCGGGGCCTCCCCGCGTCCTCGCCCTAACAATGGGGAGCGGCGGAGCCGCGGCACCTCTTACGGGGCGGCGGGAGCGGCGGCGCCGGGGCTGTCCGTCACGGACCGGATTAGCCCGGCGGGTGGCTGCACCCCGGCCCCGTGCCCAGAGCCCCCGGCTGCCGCCCCCCGCCCTCCCCACCGCCCCTCGCACACGTTCTACCGGCACCGGTGGGGGGAGCCCGGCACGGCCCGCGACAGCGCCCGGTGCAGAGAGGAGTCGGTCCCGGAATAGTCCGGGACGGCCCGGGTTGGTGGAGGGAGTGGGGAATGGGGTTAGCCCGGGATCTCCCGGGACAGCCCGGAGTGCACGGGAGAGGCAGAATCTCGGGACACCCTGGGGTGCACGGGGACTACAGTCCCGGGACAGCCCGGGAAAGCCGTCCCGGGGCCACGGGCTTTGAGGGGACACGATGTGCAGCCCCCGGGATGTAGGACCACCGGGGCCGCGCCGGTGATTGTGGTGGTCCGGAGCCCCCAGATTCCTCTCTCACACCTGTCCGTGCCCGGCGCGACGGGACCACGGCGTCCTTTGCCGCTCGGGACTGGACTGTCCCAGGCTGTCCCGGGCTGTCCTGGAGGCACCCCGCACCCTCGCGAACGCACCCGTGGATACCCACTGAGTGCACAACCCTCTTGAGCGCGGCACCCGCACGGCTCCCGCTGCCCCGGGGCGCCCGGTCTGGGCCGGTACCGCGTGTGTCAGAGAGAGGGATGAACCGGGGGGACGGAGGGACTGAGGGAGATGGAAGAATGAAGGGTAGGGGGTGCCCGGACTCAGGGGGTGCGACCCGGGGTGCCCACGGTCAGGACACGGTCACGCAGGACAAGGTTCTGTCCCCTCTGCCCCCGAGTGGGTGTGAAGTTCCCGGTGCGGAGCCGGGCGAGCCGGGGGGGCTGAGCTGAGCCCCCCGTTGGGTAGGGGGCCGGGGGGAGTAATCCCCCCGCCGCGGTTTCCCCGGACCAGTCATGCGGGGCCGGATTAGCCCCGCTCGCCCGTCACGGCCCGGGGCCGCCGATCACCAGTTCAATTCAGGGACGGACAAAGCCCGGGACGGCGGAGGCGGCGGGGGGTTCGCACCGGGCACCCCCCACACCCCCTCCCCCGGCCCGGGAGGGGCCCGGGGCCGCCCTGGGGTCTGATCCAGGAGGGCTCTGCCGCCTCCCCCTCCCCGGTTCCCGACCGGGCCGGGCCGTGTCCGCGCCCTCCGGCCACCGCCCCGTCGGGGCTCCCGGGGCTGAGGTCAGCGGCCGCGGGGAGGCCCCGGGGCGCGGCCGAGAGGGCCCTGCCCGGGGTTGTGCCACCAGCGGCGGGGCCCAAACACGGCCCGCGCCTCCCCCGCTACAACCCGGGATTCTCTGGGACCTCCGGACCCCCCGAACCCCCTGGCCGGTGCCCCGAGTCCCCGCTCCCCCCCCATCCCCTCTGCTGCAACCCGATGGGCGATGCTCGGGAACCCCCCCAGCCCCAGGAGGTCGATGGAACCGTTCCCGCAGCCGTCGGGGCGGTCGGTGCTGCCGGTGCCCCCGGGGCGACCACCGGTACCGGGCTGGGACGGAGGCACCCGAGCACCGAGCAGGAGTGGACGGACAGACAAGGGGACATATGGACGTGGAGGGGGACCCGGGGGTCCCCCGCACCCGCTGCCAGTCCCTGCCCTGCCCGTGAGCACCGGGACGGCCTCGTTACAGCCGGTACCGGTACCGGGACCATGCGGGCGGGCTCAGCCTGGCCCGGGGTTCACGTACGGGGGGACGGGGCATCCCTGGGACCCCCGTGAGGTGTTGGGGTCCCCGCCCCCCCGTGAAGCACAGGGCACGCTCGTGTCGAAAGGGGTTCTGCCCTGCCGGTGCTCAGGGCGGGGGGGAGCACCGGGACCCCCCCGCTTCCCTCTACCCCATCCCGAAACCCTGGTGGGGGTCCCCCCAAAGTAGGGGGACTCACGACAGGGGGAGTGGGCGGGGAACGACACCGGGACCCCCCCCCCCACAGCCTCCCCCCCCGCACTGCTGCATCCGTTGCCATGGTAACCCCTCGCGGCTCTCGCGATTGCACCCCCTCCGTCCCCCCCGTTCCCCCTCGCCGCTCCCCGCGCGCGCCCCCGGTCCCGGTGCGGGGGGAGGGGGGTTGTGCGGGAAGCGGTGCGGGGCGGCGGGGGGGGCACCGGGCGCTCTCGCGAGATCGGCGCGATCGGGGCCTCCGCTTCCGGCGGCGGGAGCGGTGCAGAGTCAGCGGCGGCGGGGGCGGCACCGGCACCGGCACCGGCACCAGGTGCGGGGGGGGCCGCGCCGCACCGCGGGGGGATGCGGGGCGCGGGCATCGCCGGGGGGTGGGATGGGGGGGGGACACGCACACGCACACGCACAGGGGGGTCGGCACCGCACCGGCGCGAGGGGGGGCTGCAGCGCGTGCGGGGGTGCCCGGTGCGGCGGGGGTTGCGGAGCCCCGGGAGCGGAGGGGTGGGGATGGGGGGTCGCACCGGGGGACGGGGGGATGCGGTGCGG